CAGCATTTTCTATGCCAATACTGATACTTGACCTGGAGCTGTGTGTGTCATGAATTTCAGAAGTTCTTGCAGATGAAAGTCTCCCACACCCATGTAAACTTTTTTTACCTCATTGAAAACAGCAAAATCTTCATCCATACTGTTACATGCACAAGATATAGCAACTGAGAATAGGTTTTCTCTGCTGTGTAGGGTTCTCCTCTACTTCATCGTTCTTGAAATATTACTTACTAAAACCTTTATTTGCACATCTCTCCCAGTTATTTATTCCTGCTTATATAGATATATATATTCTCCACTGTGTCATATTTATGTGAACTAGATTACAGACACTTAACATCTGAATCCTTACTATGTTATTTTTTCTCTGAAGCTCTGTAATGGAAGCATGTAAAAATGTATTTAATCATGAATTCATCTCATATGACAATTTAGGAAAGCCTACAGGCTAGTAGTGGGTTGGGTGGTTTTTTCCAGTTATTTTGCTAGTTTGCATTAAGCATATGAAATTCTACCAGTACTTAGCCAGGGAATGGGGGAAGTGTAAATGTTGTGTCCATTGATGAGATTTTGGAAATGTTTCAGAACTCAGGTGTCTTCATGGCTAATAGGAAGGTGGAAGAATTTCTGCATCTTACATGTTTACTATCCCTAGCCAGAAATTTAAGGATAAGCGTTGTTATACTGGAGGAGTACTATAAGGCAAATACAGGCCTTAATTCAGGTATTAATCCAGATTTTAATTAATTTATGTAATTTTACATCTTTATTTACTACTACTATTTTTAATACCACTGTGGGCTGATTCTGTTTCTTCCACATCATTTGCCATCTTGAAATGCCTCTGTACCCCAATAGTACGCACTGGAGCTTGGGCACTTCTGGTCTTTTTCACTTATGCCAAATTTGTAAAGAGTTCCAGGCTATAGAAAGAGAAGAATCATTTTTTAATACAGAAAAAAATATTCATATAAAGAAAAAAACAAGATGAGAATGTGAAGGAATAATTGTTTCTCTGTCCGTTAGTTCCAGTGCTCAACATTAAAATTAGAGAGCCAAACCTGAAAACATGGGCAGCTGAAAAAGAGATGCACATGCTGCTTTTGTATTATCTGAAAATTAAGGATACAGCATAAACTCTTACAGTAGGACACAATGTCCTACTTCTGTCTGATGCTCCTGCATTCAATTAGAGCTTTGTCATTGTTCATTTCAGTGGTCCTAGATCTTGACAGTTAGAGCAGACATCGGCAAACTACAGCTTATTAGTTGCTTATGGATCCTGCAAGTCATCCTTGCATTCTGGCAGTTTTGTAACTCCATTTAATTTTCTCTTTGAAGCTGTCAGTGACATTAGAAATGGAGGCTGGCATATACTCCATGTGGGTGGGTTTTACTGCACTTGTTTCATTCAGTGACTGCTTATAATTGTGTTTATCTAAGACCTCTGTGCTGTTCTCATCCATTACAGCATCTCAGCATCTTTTTTTCCATCTTTCCTTTTTTGTATGGCTTACCGATGTTCCATTCCTTTTATCAGGCTATGCAGATCGTTGGTCTGTTGCCACAAACATTGTGGCCACTGTTATTCTGGCAGGAGAGACCTGCGGTGGTATGAATGACCTCCCTGAAGTGGTTGTCAGCTGAATCCTTAAGAAGGAACTACTGATGTTAAATATTATGACGCTTCCCTATTCTTTGCCAACATAGGGTGCTTCTACTGCATTACCAGCTTAAGGAGTGAAAGGACAAAATGAAAAGAGGATTTAATAGAAATATGCTCTGTTCAAGTGTAAACGTGTTAATATATTGAGTATATTAGAAAAGCCTCATAAAAGTAATCAAATGGAAAATTTGTATTTAGAGGTATAATGTGAAATATGGAAATATCTTTCAGTACAGAAAAGTATATTGACCTTTTTTGTTTTGAGAAATTTGGAGACTATAACTGTGAAAAAGTGAACACTTGTTTTAAAATGAGGGGACACCTTTTCTCAAAGGTGGGGTTATAATAAATGTACTTCTTAAAGTAAATTTAAGATTGAAGGTAAATATACTTTGATGCACTTTCAAGAAATGAGACACATTCTCAGAATAAATACCTACACTGAGAAAATCACCCCAGAACCAAGAGACAGCACTTGCTCAAATAAAATATAGCTGAAGGCAGATACCCTGCTGTTGGGAATGTGTTCTGACTAAGGTCTCCAACAGGCTAGATCCTTCCTGTTGGCATAGGACACTTACGTGTGCTGAGTCACTTGTTGGTGCAGTGCCAAACACAAAGACTAGGAAGGATATGAGTGACAATAAGATCATTTCATTTAGGAAAGAAATGTCTACATCTTGATTCTTTAAGAAAAAAACTTTCTACTGTAAACCATCCTTTTAATTCACAACCACCTTTTTTACTTAACTTTGTAAAAATATACTAAATGGTATAATTAGCCAGGAAAATACTGCTTTGTTTCTATAATAAGAAGTGCAGATAGGGGACAAGAGAGAAGAGAAACTAAAATGTTTAAGGAAGACACTAAATTCTTTGGCTTCATAGTGTCAGCAGACATACCCAAGTATAAAACATTTTCTGTTTCATGCATTATCAACTATACACAGACATAAAACTGTGCATGTTTAAGAACAGTAAGCATAAGGAAATTAAAGTTGAAAAAATTTTTCCTTTGCCTATATCATTTCTGAGACACACATCCATCTCTCCTGCTAACATTATTGCAACTAGTGATAAATTATGTTTAATTTAGTTTGAAAGTTACAAGTCATCAGTACCAACAATGAAAAAATAGGGTATCCAAAAGGTTTAAGTCCTTGCTGGATGTAGATCAGTACCTTTTTTTTTTTTACGGTATTAGATAACAATTTAAATCATGTCTTTTTGTAGTTTGTATTAGTAGTTATGAGGCAGACTGTTGAAAACAAGGTGAGTCTTTCAGTTCTTTGCTGTTTTAATTTTCACCCTTTGAAGCAAATGGTAGGAGAATCAATTGCCTGTGAGCACTAGAATTCTGAATAAATTATTGGAACAAGAGGACCTGCTTTTATTTTCCTGTATACTTACAGGCATTCACATCCTTGTCTCCATCTTCCTTCCTATTTGTGAACATGTGTTGGCCTGTCCAGCATTCCACACCACTGGTGGAGTTTGTTTTGCAACAAATTCCAATATAAAACATAGGAAAACAACAAAAAGAAAAGATTTTCTGTTCGATGACAGAACTTATCTCAGAATCTTAACTTTCTCTTACTTTCTGGAAATAATTCTATTCTTATTTGATAATAACTTATTCTCTTCCAGACTGGGTCTAATAATTGCATAGCCTAGTCATCAAGAAGCTAGGATATTCTGTTACACAGATAATCTCCCTCTAACAACCTTTTAGCAGTTGGGTTTTTTTCCCTGTCCTGCTTATATTGTGTAACTCCAGTATCAGTTCCTCAGGGCTTTCCAGAACAACGGCTGTGGGCTTGAGGTCTCAGACAACACTGTGTCACTTTATTTTTGTGATATGACCTTGGAAATCTTTTAGACAATCTATGTTTTGAACACAGTCTTCATTTTTGTGTGTGCAGTTGTGTGGTGTGTTAATTTCTGAGGCCTGAGTTTCTGCTTTGCTGCTTGTATTGCTGTTCCCTTCTTGTTTTTAACAGTGACTGTACTTTCACTAAATTAAGCCTTTTTCTTCAGACTCTCTCACTTGTTGCACCTTCCCAGGAGGATCAGAAGTAGACATAGAAGGTCATGAGACCTAAATTGTCTATTCTAGTTCCAGTGGTTATCTGGCACCATGATCTTAGCATGCCCATCAATGGGCACTGATTCTGTAAATCTACAGAAGCACTTGCAACTTCTCATACACTTCTCAGAAATAATACAGGTAGCCTTTAAACTGATTGACCTCAAAGGAGAGGGCTAGGACTCAGTGATTTGGAAATTATTATGAAAGGAGCTGGGGACAAGTTAAAATGACAAAGTAATTTCATACCATCTGAAATTAACTGTTGAGGACTTGCATTCTCTGCTTAATTCAGCTGTTGTAAAATTTCTGCCTACTGTATTGGAATCAGTGGAAAACTTCCTTTAAGGAAAGAGACTTCTAGCTATAACTGTTTACTTTAAAAAGGCTTATTGATAGAATGATGCTAGGGAGAGATTTCTATGCCTGACTGTTGGAGTTCAGTGGAACAGATCATCTGGAGTCATTAAACTCTTTAGAATATTCTGGCATACAAGGACAGGTGAAAGGTTGGCAGACAGATACACATATTTATCCTGCTGATAAAAAGTGCTGCAAGCTATCATTGTTCTGTAACATTCTTAAAGAAATGATTCAGACTGTAGGGCGTATTGCACAAGATATCCAAGATGAATCTTTTTTCTTTTTTTTACAGTCTTGTAGTAATGTGCACTTCTTAAAAACTCAGAAAAGCCCAGAAATTGTATTGTTATAAAAAAGAATCATTTAATATTCATAAGAAAAAAAGAGGGGAAAAAGGGGGGGGGGCATATTTAAGAAATTTATATGCAAATTCAATAATAAGTGCACCTGAATAGTATGCTCTTGGCTGCCTTGCACTAAGAGGCAACAAGAATTGGGAGGTGGGGGGAGGAAAAAACAAACAAACAAACCACCACCACCAAAACCCACAAACAAAAAACCCCTAAACCTAAAAAACCTCCACAAAACAGACAAAAGTGAAAGTACACACAGAGCTTAAGTTCTAGAATAGGTTGGGGTTTGGGTTTGGTTTTTTCAACTGTTTCTGTTTGCCAACCCTGGTAGATTTAAGGCCTCCTTTGGTACTTTGTTTTTACTTGTTACTTCTTCGGTGCTATTGAATTGGTGAGGTGCTACATAGTAACATCTTGTTTCAATGCGATTTTCACAGCTCTCTCAAAAACAGAAGTCGGCTAATAAGTATTCAGTGAGGTGTTTAAATAAAATTTTAATTGTATTTATTTTTTAAAAATATTTCAGGCATATGGCTCTGGTTGTGACATTGTTATTCTGGCAAATGACTTTGAATGTGTGCAAATTATTCCCGGTGCTAAACATGGAAACATCCAGGTCAGTTGTGTGGAGTGCTCCCAACGACAAGGCAGGGTAAGGATTTTAATAAATTTGTACAGAATTTTTGAAAAAATTGAATACTCTAACTGAAAGAATTAAACAGCATCATAATACATTAATGGTAATGAGTTAATTTCATGACAAAGATCAGTTTTTACTGATCTGTAATTTTCTGAGTAACATTGTGTTACTGAGAGAATTGTTTCCTTTTAATAATTTTCTTTTTTTGGGGGGGGGGGGGGGGGCGGGGGGCGGGGGGAGGGGGGGAGAAGGTATGCAGGAAGCATATTGTAACAATGGTTTTTATTCCTTTCCAGGACCTGCAATAACAGGTTTCTCAAAATGTGGAAATATTTATTAATTACAGTATAGTATCAGAACTGGAATGGTACTAAAATTATTGTTAATGTCTCCATTATTGTATACTTTCATCTAGCTAAAGATGACATGGATAAATCATTCATGTATACATATATGTACACACACATGTGTGCGTCTGTGTGTCCTGCAAAGTAATGAATTAGAAATACTTTATTTTTCAGAAAAGCTTGGGCACGTTCAATGTGTTTAGAAGTGCTACAGTATGAGCCGTCATAACTGCATGGCTCTTTGACTGGCTATGTGGTTCTATTTTTAATCCCTAAACAATGATAAACAGACAGTTTAGATTGCTGAGAAAAAAACACTTTCTATGAGGTATGGTAGTGCACCGAGCAAAGTTTCTCTGTCAGTTATCACTGCCTACTAATAGTAGCTAGTTAAAAATTGGTTACAGTACTGAAAAGCCCTACTTAGGCTTCGAGCAGGTTTAGCTGGCAAGGCCCCTGCACTGCAGCAGTGCCATCCCAGTAGGACTGGAAGAGAGATTCTAGCTGCAAGACCACCATGAACCCCTGGGTAGTTTCACATTCAGGACTCTGAACTCAGTCTGCTCTTTTCTTTGGGAGTATGTTGCTGCAACCTTCTCCCCTCCCCCTGAAGAGGAAATAAGATTTCATAACAAATGTTGTGAAACTTTTACATCTGTATTAAGGAAACCAGATCCTGAATGGGAAGAACTTAAACAGTTTTTCTTTTAAAAATCTTTTAAGGAAGAAAAAGGAATTTTAAAGATAGTCAGAAGTACTCATATGAGTATTAGGAACATGACAAGATAAATTCCTAATAAAGATGATTTTGTGTATGGAGGCTTCTGTGAAATAAGTGGGTGAAAGAAATTGAGGGGTTCAGTGGTATAAGTACTTCAGTTTTTCTGTTTACCATTTGTCTCCCCTCAAAATGTATTTAACTGTTCAAATTAGAAATACATTTTCTCCTCTTTCTCATAATTATTATTTAGTGGTACAAAATGGAATCTGGGAACACACTGAGACCCACAGACACTAATAATTAATTTATTAGTTAGCTATGAAATAGAGAGAACGTAAGCATTAACAGTAGTTACTCCAGAAGAATATATTAGATTGGATTGACAGCCTTTATCGCACTTAACAAAATGTTTTCCCTACTTAGTGTGAAAAATCTTAAAGATGGGCTTGTTCAGAAGTATGTAAGGTGTATATATATATATATACACACACACACTTTCCTCAAGAAAGTATACCTATAACACAATTAATGATATTTGTATCAATTTCACTTTTCTTGAACAATGGCACATAGAAGATGTACTGGAAATTCTTTAGCTATTTTGGAATACTAAGGAGTGGTTACACTTATCTCCTAACCTTACATTTTGTGTCTTCAATTTTTTTTTCCAGATTGCAGCATCATATGGAAATGCTGTTTGCATTTTTGAACCGCTTGGTATAAATTCTCATAAAAGAAATTGTGTAAGTATGTATTTCACAATTGTAATTTGATTTAGGGTCTTCTAAGAGGCAAAATTCTGTCTGCCAGTTATTAGTATATTATTATTATATTACATTGGCAGGCAAAAGACTAATGGATAAATGTTTTCCACCATCCATAATAAAATTGAATGGGTAGAATCTTCTACTGCATGAACTGAACTGGGGACTGCACTTCTCCTAACTTCACAAGATCTTGTTCTTGAATCTCATACTAGAATGACATGGTGACAAGTTGGTGTTTCTTTAACTTGTCAGATCTGTGGTACAGATAAATGACTTAAACTTGTATACATGTACCCAAGCTTGTTTTAACATTAAGTATGTTCTGAAGCAGGTTTCACAATCTTTGTTGCATCTATGCTGCCATCCCTTATGTTGTTATAAATGTATGATCTAACTAGTTTAATGTAATCTACAGGCATGTTTGTATGTGTGACAGGTCCAGATCTGGTTCGCAGGGCACTCTGTGATGCATTTAATTTTTATAAAACAATTAAAGATATTATTAGAACTAGGTTC